TTCTTCTCCATTTTCCATATAATCGTGAAAACGTAGACGGGGCCAGCTTTACCCCACCCTTTGAACCCTTCATAAAGATACTTCGTCTATTTTGACAGTTGGAAAAGTATTTTATATCACCTTAATACACGGGTGGGCAAGGTGTGGCCCACCAGTGAATTTTTTGCGGCCCGCGAAAATTAATTACAAACACTCTCACCGGCCGCCCCACCAATCGTCTTCGGCTGGTATAAAATACCTTGTTTTTTTGCGGCCCGACACCGATCATTAAAGTAATAGTAAAACTGAGCATAAAGTCGCCATAAAACAGTGTATAAAGTTTTTCGGAAGTGCACTGAAATATTAAAGTTTGGGTGTGGCCCTCGAAGTTGAATCAAAAATTCACTCTGGCCCTACGACCAATTTTAATGCCCACCCCTGCCTTAATACAAATTTTTCCATTCGTCTATTGGAATTGAGCAACCTTCTCTGAACCGGGAATTACAGTAGTATATCTGAGTAGTTTCCTGACAACACCTATATAATCTCTTATATATACCGGTATATTTCACTTCAGTTATGCATGAATAATCAATGATCTGCCAACTCTCTATACTAACAGGAAACAATAAACATGAATAATAAGCTTACCAAAAATTCAGCAGCTCCAAGGAGGTCCAATAATTTTACTCATCATTAGCAAACTGATCTTACTCATCAACAGAGGGCAGTATTCATATTTTCTAGACTGCTTTTTTTTACTCCAGCCAAGGCCTTATGGGGAACAGCACAAGACAAATAAATATTTATAAATGTAAAGCCATATGAAAAATCACTGCAGACAAATAATTAAAATGGTTATCTAAAAAGAACAAAACAATAAATAAAAGATACAAAATAGTAGTACATTATGTTGGTTAAAAAAAGGTATAGGTAGAGTTACTGTGAACATTAAAATCGTTCAATCAATAGTTGAAACCTATTATGAGTTGAACTAATAAATAGTTGTATTGCACTTCAGATATGTGTAAAAAAACATTTCATATGGAAAAAAGAAGCATAAAATCAAGTACTACACCATAGTTCCAAATTCTAAAAAGATCATATTTTTCCTTTCTTTCACAGAATAAAAAACCTCCAAGGAGGAAAGGGGTGCCATTTCCATTCCGGCTCAGCCGCCAAAAATCCTAGTCATGCTCCTGTTCAGAAAAGTTACTGAAGTACTGTAATTTGGAAACACATTACTAAATACTAGGTTAAAAGCATTAAAGTACTTGTTACGATAATTTGGAATTTCCAGAATAATCATTGGTTTTAAGATTTCAAATGGTTTATGTCTTCACTTACAGAGTTTGTTCAAAGGCATGAACAATAAGGGTAGACTCAGTCACCTGAAAGCCAAAGACAACACTCTTCTACACTATGCCTTTGTATCCTCCCTATGAAAGGATCCGTCGTCCTGTTATCAGTGTCATGATCATCATCCTTTTTCCATACTAACACAGCAGAAGCCCTGAAATTTGAAAAATAAAAAAAAATAATGAAATCATTTAAAAGACAAATACAAAATATACCAAAAAAAAAAAAAAAAAAGAAAAGAAAAGAAAAACCCAAACTAACTTTTTGACTTCATTAAAAAAACTGACGGAACAAGTTGGACAAAATCCTAATACTGTATACCGGATCGTATGTTTTATACACCACTACAACCGAAGGTGGGGGTGGGTGAACACAACATTTTCAGAATAGATAAGTGTCAACCGAATATATAACTGAATCTTTCGTATTTTCATATTAAAACATAACAAAACACAAACGATATTACAGACGCATTAAAGATTTGATCTGGCAATTTTTGAATAAAGTTTAATATAATAGGCCTATTGATGTAAGTACTTTCATTGTTTCCGAATGTATGTAACAATTGTAACCAATCGGCGGTCAGGAATGCCTGTGTCACTGATGTAGGTGCGGATACAGAATTATCCCCCCCCCACCACTAAGGTGGGGGTGGGGGTGGGTGAACACAACATTTTCAGAATAGATAAGTGATTAATTTCAATACATAAAGATTTGTCTACACTATCAAATTTTATATGACGTCATAGGCCTATCACATATACTACAAAATTGTATCAAAAAAAGTTGAACGTGTTCAACTCTTATTTTCCATCACATTCTATGTGACGGTTTTTTTGATGAAATTTGATAGTGTAGACAAAGCTTAACACTGATATGCATTTAAATTGTAAAATTCAGTGGCAAAACGCGAGGTGGGGTGGCAGTGCTCCTCCTCCCTTGGTAGGCCTATGTTCGTTAAAAATATTACATGGTCATATATGGTCATTGCTATGGAGGTCGAATTCATGATTGTGGTAAACTAGCTTCACTAATAGTACAGTGGCGTTTCTAGGGACGCCGAACAAAATTCATGCACTAAAAGTTACAAATCACCTCAAATCACATTATTTTGCGAGTTAACCCCACGGCACCTAATCACCTAATCAGCGAGACCTGCCTCCCTCTTTCACCTTCGTCGCCCACCGTTTCAAGACTCATAGAAACAGTACGTACGCGACTACAGTGGTACACTATTTTTTAATTGTAGTAAATCTTTGGATCGCAACAAAACCAAAATTGTTTGAAGCACAGTCAAGACTCGTGGTGGTGGTTTAACATCATTATGTTTTTGCACAGTGTTGCTTAATGCTATGTCGCCCTCATTCGGAAATTATAACGATAACAATAACGGACTGCAAACCAGCAAGGCTTACTCCTCCAGGCTTTGCTAGGAGCCAGGTTTTGCATGAAGAAGAATAGGCTACCAGGGTTTCCATAGTCCTTGGTAGCTTTCGACTCCAGAATAATAAAGATAACAGACATTTATGAATTTGGGACCCCAGAAATGTGGTCTTTATTTGGAGGTGGTCTTTTTAATTGGAGGGTCTAATTAGTGGGAAACCTGTATTTATTTTCCTTTATTTGACCTGCCTGATTTGACGTTCACAATTACATCGGCCGTGGTGCGTCATTTATTAATTTTAAAAAAACAAATGTGGTAATGGTAATACAAATATTGAAATATACTAAAAATCAAACTTTCATGAACGCAATGTTTATAGTACATTAGGGTAGCGGGTAGTCAGTCGCTCCGAGTTAACTGCCCACCAGTTTAATCCGCATAATAAACTTAACAAACAATAACAATACCGTATTGTGTAAGCCTATACGCGCACGAATGCTTACCCACACCATAGAGCAAAGAAACCCCACACTCACATAATTATATGCACGTAATGCAAGGGCCTATATTTACTTTATCTGAAATGAAAAAGAAAATATAAATTACAAAAACAACACAGAAGTTAAACTACTGTAGGTCTATTTGAAATTGTCACATCTCCTGTATGCTCGAGGTAGGCCTACTCATTGGACCGTGATTAACAATTGGTAAAACTAAAAAAACGAGTACAGGGGGGACTCGAGCTTTTGTGCACGTGTCCAGTAGTGTGATGCAATGCAATAATTTCTACATGATAAATTTTCAACCTTGACTTTTTTTACAAAAGGTCACGAAGACCCAGTGGCGGATTGAAGGGTGGAGGGAGGCAGCCGGCCTGCTCCCCTCCCCACCTAATTTTTTTTTTAATGGGGATATAAAGATAATTAGCTTATGTCTGAGAGTGCAATTTTTCTAGAGGTGCCATAATCACAAAGTTTCTTACCTCAGCCACAACCATGGGGCTCAGCTGATATTAGTCCCTCCATCTGTGAAAGTACCTCCCCGGGCCGCATTATTTTTTCCCCATACAGTTAAGGCAGAAATTATAGAGGGCCCTGTTTTAGGTCACTTTGAACTGATATACATGAATATATGCATGCCAGACCTTCTCCCCGCGAAACAGAGTTCAGTGGTGTATCGAGATGAACGCTATGGAATAGGCCCTAGCCCAGAATCTCCTAAAAAGGCCTTGTTGTAGTCAAGACAGTGTGAAAATTATTGGACTATTGTAATAATATCCATATGACTAGACACAATGTACAGCATGGTTTTTGAAAGTATAAAAAAGCACAGTATTGAATCTTGCTCACTAGGTTAACAGTAGTAGTCTATTATGCTTAGATATGATATGTATTGTAGCAGAAGTGTATTCCCCCTATAGTACTGATTCTGAAGAATAAACGTTTAGAAATGCTCGGAGACAAATTACGAGTGTACTTCGGACACAGTTGTTAAACTTACAATTTTACAATTAAAAATTTTAATGAAAAAAAAAAAATCAGACAGTGAGCGTATTTGCTGTATTCTTTTACATATTTTATTGGCTGGTAGTTTTTTTTGTTTTCTTTTTTTTTTCTTTTTTTTTTTTGTACCGTCTGTAAATTAGCCTGAAAGCTGTTGTCGTTTTAAATAAGTTATTCATTTTTTTAATTTGGTAGACAGCCTAAAATAATGTCATGTGTATAGAATATCATCGGATTTGGTAAAATTAATGTTTAAATAATTTGCTTGCTATATAAATCTATGCATAATTTTATTCATCATATGGAATATGAACGAAATGTTTGTGAGAAATCAACATTAAAACAATACACAGAATTGTCTTAATATAGGCCTACACTTGGCTTTTAAAGCAAACAGGTCCTGTGAAAAACAGTAATTTTTTAAACATTAAACGAAAAGTTATTTCTACCATGTTTTCAAAGAAGATTTTGTAGCGTTAGTTTTAGTGTTACAGTTTTTATATTGTTTCGCTGAATCATAATATTAATTCTTTCATCATATCGTGCATTATCACAATGAAACCAAAACAATGCATCACCGCAATATATTCCATGAGGAACTTACACCTCTCCACTAGACATTCGTCAGTTATTCCATGGAGAGTACTTTAAACTTCAGTTATTCAAATTATATGAACAATACAACACTGTAATTTAAATTGAGGGATCGGAACTCCGCTTATACAGTCTCGTATAAAACCGAATCAGTGACTCATTCATAATGGGTGTTTTTATGAGTGCGAATACGTCATCAATTTGGTATGCACGCATTGCCTTGTGGTACATCTGATAACAGTAGTCGTTTAATGCAGGTATTGAGACTAAACCGGAAGTGGCCATATTCTTGAGTTTGAAAGAACAAAATCGTTGAGTAGTAATTTCGTTTAAGAGCATAAAGAAACAGATAAAGAAACGAAGTATACTTTTCAGTCACACGTAAGTATTAGATTTAGGCATTAATTGAATTTTAAATGACACCTTTTTCGGAAACGATTTATAATTTCGGGTGTGTCTGTTTTATGTGGTGGTGGTCTCAACAGAAATGTTCGAAGGGGTCATCACGCATTGGTTCACTTCGAAAAAATAACGGAGTGTAGGTAAGGAGGCCTAGGCTAGGCCGAGCTTGTCTAATATTGTTATTTTAATGAAGTTATATTTTCGATTGTGAAGTAGTATTATACCTAAGACCTGAGCTGTGTAGGTGCTACCTACGACCCTATTTTCTAATTTAATTAATAAGTATTTAATTAAAAGGCTAACCAAATATGAGGCGCTAGCTAAAAAATGGCTAGCTAGGCCAGTATCTATGCTAGCTAGCCTAGCCTCTAGGCCTAGGGCCCTATCTCCCCACCCCGACCTATCTTATTATGGCCTAGTAGTAGCACACCACACACAGGCATACTACAGTAATTAGGCCTAGGTTAGCCTACCTACAGTAATTTATTATTTAACATATAATTGAATAGATCATGCATTATTTACTTATAATGTATTCTACATAGATCTTTGAATACATAAATAATTCTTTGAAAGTTTTCATTATTATTGATTAAGCCTACAGTAGTACAGTAGGCCTAAATGAGTTTGCTAATTGACTGATTTCAGTATAAATTTAAATAGGGTAAGGAAGGGTTTACCTCCCTGGGGTAACCAATCATTATTTATAAGTTCACTGGGAAATGTGTAATTAATCTTTATAGTTAAATAATGAAATGTAACTATTTTTTGGCATTGAGATAGCAAGAGTTAGTTTTAAGGTTTGGGTAAAGCCAAGCCAAGTTGACCAATCAGTGTTTTGTTATTTCGAGCACTTTGGCGTAAGCATAGCCACAGCATACAGTATTTATAAATATTATTTTGGCCTATCAGTAATGAAATCATAATGAATTATCAGGAAACAATGACTAGTTAAGTAGCTTTTCTTCTTTCATCCTCAAGATCTGTTTTTGATCAGTCAGTGTTATTTGCTCTGCCTGTCAGTCAGATATCTATCTAAATCCTAGGCCTGTATTTAAGGAACTTGTTGAGTGCAGGCACAGCACTGAATGATATCCACAGCAGCAACAGGCAATTAATTCCATGAGAGGAAGTTGTTATATGTTGGCTCGTATTAATAATTTCCGTTAACTCAAATCGTAAGGATTTTTTGCATTGTGACCAAGGAACTAATCTTGAATTTTGATATGAAAATCTTAAGTTTAATTAAAATATTTTATTTAAATTTTTGATTGATCTGTTTAATGTAAATTTATCTGTGTAAGTTTTGCTTTACAATTTTGTGATAACAGTTTTCTCTGTTTTTCTTAATTACATTTTTTTTATTCATTCAGTCTGCTGAAATTTCAAAAGCACTGTTGATATATCAATATGAATATATTCGATAGGAAAGCACATAAGGTGTTTTTATGTGAAGTAAAAAATAAATTTTAAAAGCACATACAGAGGTTTCAAAAACAGAATGTATATGTATCTAGTAAGTACTTTTATTTTCTCAGTGAAGGGCATTAACTGATAAAAGTAGACCAAGGTATTTTGTGTTTAATTATGTTAAATGTTTTAGTCCAGCAAACTTTGGTTGGTTGCATTTTTTTTTGCTATATTTTTTAAAAATTGGATATGATGTAGAGTAGACATAGATAAATCAAAAAAGTATGTGCAACATTTTTTTTTTCATACGTAAG